CAACATTATCCGTTTACAATTAGTGTGACAACTTCTGGCCTATCCATGGTAGGCAATAAAAGTCTCGTAAATTTATTTTAATAAACTTCACAATGGAAAAGAACTAATAGTCCTACAATACATAGGTTAAATATTCAGATGTACTTCCTAATGTCTCTTGGCATATATGAGCCTTTAGATTGATAGAATGACTAACTCTCATTTCAACATTTTTTATTATTAATTTTAGTGATATTTCTTGTGGAAAAATGTATACCTTTATTCACAGTTTTTGTTTCAACACTGCTATCACCTACTCTGGAATCTACTTACTCACTGTATTTATAGATATAACTTTTCCAGCTAGAAATATTACTAAAACGACATTACTCAAACATTTTTAAATTGGAGTTAGTAATTCTATCAACTGAAAGACTCAGAGACTAAAGTTATAAGGTTTATAAAAGAAGATGGAGTAACTAGATCTGTATTGCCTACCGTCGATATAATAAATGGACTTTTAGTAATTTTAATGGTTTCAATTTTTTGTTATCTGTAAGCTTAGCTTTAGCTCCGTTTAAACTGCACTTCAAACATTTTTTACTAGCCCGTATCTGCCAGAAAATAATTTCTATTCAAAGCAAAGAGGTAAGTGAAAGTTGTGTGTTACGTGTATCAGATTTTTGGTTTATTATTTTCAATAATGAACCATTGTAATCGTACAAAAAAAAAATCAAAAATTTAACACCCTCTCACAATTTGAGGTTTTACGTTTCAGGATACGTGGAATTCAAAAAAAGAATACAAATTTTTTGGTCCGTTCGCCGTCCACGCATTTTCTTCGAATACACAGGACAGATTTTTTTCAAATGTGGATTAAAAATCAGAGATTACCTAAAGATGATTCTCCTTCATCAACATTACTATCCGTCTTTTACTTTCAAGATGGCTGCCAAAAACCTACGTTGCCTAAACGAATGTACCGAATTCAATGAAACTTGGCTAAAGTCTTCTTCTCGATGCCCTTTAAATCTATCTATATAACATACTTCAACGAAAAACTGCTCAAAAAAAAGTTACGAGGTAAAATTAGATTCCGAATAACTCAACAAGTATACAATTATTTTGAGAATATTGTTATGGTTATTTAAAAGTATACGAGATTTTCTAAAAAAATCTGACAATAAGGAGCAAAGATATGGTCTCTAGATGTATTTATGTGTTCTACTGCAAATGTTATATCTTTTGTTTTGATTTTTGAATGTTACTGAAGTAATGCTATTTTTTTAGCAAATTACTAATGATGAAAAAAAATGTTTAGGGCAATAATGGGGATCATGGGATAATGTTACATTAGATATATAATTGTTTGGAAATAATAAACCATTGTGAGATAATTTATAGCGTTTTTTTTTTGTTTTTTTATTCGAATCCCGTAAACTTATACCTTTAAGATATATTTATTGTCGTTTGGAATGCCTGTCAATATTCTTGGTTTTCTTTTTTCAAGTCTTCTAATAACTTCCTTAATGGCTTTGGCAATTTTTTTTATTCTCGTTAACCACTGATGGATTATAGATGAGGCGGGCCCTTTTGTGATACTAAAAGCTATCGACGCAGGTTAAGTCGGGCCTAAATTGTGCACTAGGCTCACAAGGTTTGCAAACCACCGACCGGACAATGAGAACAGTTATCTTTTGGAATAGTTTTCTTTAGGGATAACGTCCTGCTATTAAACTCTTCTTAGGCTGGTAATTAGCGGCAATTCATCAGAGGCTAACAGATGAGAAACAAATAGAGACAATTAATCACCACAGCGAGGTTAAAGTCTTTACCCTCCTCCTCTTGTGCGTGTATCGATCTTTCCTTTTTTAATAACATCTATTTAAACTTGGCTGAAACATAACCTCCTACTGTTCTTCATTATTATTGATAGGAATAATTCAAGGAACTGATTTTTTTTTAAAATAATTTTTAAAAAATTAATTTACATTTTTAAATTTTTTTTTAGTATCAATTCCATGGAATTATTCCTATCAATAATAATGAAAGGCCAACGCTAGGAGGTTATGTTTCAGCCAAGTTTAAATAGATGTTATTAAAAAAAAAAAAATTACACTTTTACTATCCGACTGCTCCAACACTAGACAAACGCTCTAAACTTTCAATTAATTACAAAAGACTTATCTACATAACTATAATAAGACCTATATGGACATAACGAGTAGAGCTTTGGGGCTCCACCAAACCATCAAATTCCTATCGTATCCAATCCTTACAATCCAAAATCCTCCGTAAAATCCTTAAAGCTCCATACTTTGTCACAAATAAAACCATTCATAAAGACCTTAATGTACCACATGTCGCTGATTTATCCCAAGCTAGATATCTATCCTTTCATGACAAACTCCAGTCCCATCCAAATCCCCTTGCTTCTTCCTCGATCCCTGATAATCCTCCTAGGCGACTGAAAAGGAGATGGCCTCGTGATCTTCTTACTTAGAATTATTTAGGGAATGCTACCACTGGCTAGTATCTCTTCCAGCCTGTTCATGTCATTATTTATAATTTGTGCATATTTACTAGTTTTATTTGTATACAGTTGTAAATTTCATTAAAGAAAAAAAATTCTTATTTTTTCAAGTACTGAAAATTTATATTCTGCAAATATGATCACGAACATGATACGATGTGAATTAAAATAAAGTTGAGAATACTTAAAATATAATTAGCGCTTCGAACTTAAAAATTGGTCCAGTAGTTTGCTCAAAAATTCGTCAACTACCATTTAGCAGATTTATTAAACACATATTTTATAGTAAATTGTCATCATTTTGACCAAATTGTTCCAAAACACTCACCGAGTAATTTGGAACCAATAAGAACTTGATTAATATTGTATTATCGCCACATATATAATTACAGTAAGGCTCGAAATCGGTTTTGTACCAAATATAAGCTCCTATCATGCTCAAATACCATAAATGGGATACAGAATTTCACGGTAGGTTAGCGAATTGTATTCTCCACCTTGTTTTTTTTACTTTCTAAAATAAATAAAGTCGATACAAACATTTTGCTGGGCTTCAATACTGGAATGGTGATAGGTCTGTAGATCGATACGGGATAAATTGGACCTTGAAGATTTTGATGCGTACAGCAAAACCCGGATAGTTCCTCCGAAACTATCGGATCCTGCGTTTTTAAGCACAAAAACGTACTATTTTCGAGATAACGCAAAGCATAGGGTTCGCACCCACGCAGCCTTACGTTAATTGTAGTACTGTCATTGAATACATGTCTCATTTCGTCGACTTGAGGCCTCTATGATCGAGAGAGGAGGAGGTTATATTATATATCGATGGTATTTTTGATCGACAAGCCATATCATAGTTAATTCTTGGCCAAATCTCAAGATTGAGCCACAGATTTCGAAGGCTTCCTTCTCCTTCAGGCGGGCAAAATAGTCTAATCATCCCGGAAATTCAGGCAAACAAATTATGAAAGAAAATAAACTTTATTTGCGAGTAACAAAAAAATTACACGCTTTTCCCTTAAGTTAAAATTTGAGAATATTTTTTTGAGATGAATTTTCTATTATGGGTCGAGAGGGAGGAAGAGGGTTGTTTTGTAATTTTTTATGGCAGGACTTCTGGAAGTCAAGGTTTCGCAATAGTCATAAAAAAATAAAAAAATTGTTATTCGGCTACTTGTTTAGGTACCACACAACTAAACCGGTTCATTAAGATTTGTTAAGTGTTTAGTTTTCATTTATGATGAAGCGAGGAGATAGTGGAGTCGATGAATTAATCAAAAAGAGTTGTAGTCTCTCCACTTCTTGAAGTTCTGCTGCGTTTATCGCTGACAAAATAACATTGGACATTGAGTCATCTACATTCGTGTAAAATTAGAACTTGATCTGAGTGAAATTTTTGGAGTTATTTTTACCTTATTTCCGGTTAATCCGTTTGGTTAATCCTAAAAATGTATACGACAACATTTGTTAGGCTCAGGAAGTTGAATCGAATCACACCTTGAACTGGAAGATCGGATAAAGTTGAAAAATGAGTGTGTTTTATCCTTTTTATGTGACAACGCGTTACAGATGTTCGGTGTTCCGGATTTTTTCGTTGAGTTGTAAAAATTTTTCCATCAGTTGAGTAGTACAACTTTTAAATGTGGCTTGCGGTAGAGCAGATTGGGATGAGAATCAAAGTAAGTAACTGCCTAACCGGGATCTCTAGACAAATTACTCAAGAATTCATAACTTCGTTCTACTCAATATTTTGTTTTCATTTAAAGCCTATATTTTAAGTCAAGCAAACATAAAGGTAATGTCAAAATTTCAAAAGTCTACCATTAGCCATTGCCAAGCTTACTCCTGACAATATGTCGTTGGACTATGCGGACATCCAGACAAAAAAAATTTAAAAGTGGATTTGGTGTCTGTAATGTATAAAACAGAAAGATATCATGTAAAGGGTTCATTCTAATCAATGTACAGACAAAACCTTTATTTTATTTATATAGATATTCTTTAACCTATAAACACATGTTTATTATTAACAGTTATTATCAACATTAACCGAGATCTCTAGATAAATTAATAAAGAGTTCAAACTTTGGTCATACTCAATATTTTGTTTTCATTTAAATCCTATGTTTTAAGTCAAGCAAACTTTAATGTAATGTAAAAATTTCAAAAGTCTACAATAAGCCATTGCTGAGCTTACTCCTGACAAAATTTTGTCGCAAAGCGGACACATACAGACAGACAAACATTTTTTTAAAAGTGGATTTGATGTCTGCTTTGTATGATACGGAAAGATATCATAAAACGGGTTGATTCTATTCAATGTACAGAAAAAATCTTTTTTTATTTTTATAAAAAGATAAATTTGGCATTTGATAATAATATTAACAGGCCTACTAGTTCGTAATAATTTACGTTAAATAATCAAAATAACAGATCGACTAATTGGTGTTGTAACTTTGTTTTTTCAGGTGACCCTTGAGAGGTTCACGATAGGCAAGTTCAACTCCTTCCTGAGCGGGGGCTGTCCGGACGGCTGGATGTCCGTAGAAGAGAAGTCGCGACCGCTGGCGGGTGGACTCTGGTGCGGCACCTCGTGGGGACCCGTCCTCTACTACTCAGAGACCGACTCCCTCAGCCTCCACATCACCCTCCTCACTCTCTCCTCCGACCAGAACGGTTACAACTTCGACTTCAGGATATCCTACAAGATGCTGTCCAGGACGGTCGCCACCACCCGCTTCGGAGGAGTCATCATCAGGGGTAATAATGCTCTTGCAAATGTCACGTTATTTTAACGCATTTCATTACTGTGTATTATTATTATTATTTGCCTAATTTATTTTATTTTAATAGATCTCGAAGACAAGTCTTTAGAGGAAGCGAATAACATCGATCTAGCTACCAACCGTAGTCAATTAGAGGGAGAATATTTTCTCGGTAAGAACTCTTTTGATTAATATTAAATATATATATATATATATATATATATATATATATATATATATATATATACATACATATATATATATACAGGTGAAAAGTGTGAGTAGTTCAACTACCAAAAGTAGGTAATTATGCTTGGTTCAGAAACCCCTCAAACCGGAAGAAACGCAGGTTGGCGTCGATTCCGCTGATGGCTCTGCTGCGAGTCACTAAGTCGTAACGGAGTGCGTCTCATGAGACGGTGCAAATTTTAGCAGGAGGAGTACCTCACGACCTCTTCCTGAATGAAGATTCATTAAAATATGTTTTTAAAAGAGAAGGCACAGCAGGTCTACCGGAACATATATGAATGAGGATTGTCGAGAACCCTCGAAAATGGAAAATTATAATCCAACAAAATACAATAGATGAGCGGAACCGCCGGTAGGTGTCTACCGCGAAGGTTCTACTCTGAGAAACTATTTCCCCACCGTCCGGTCACGAATAAAAGCCAAATACATTACCCCGGACTATGGGTCTCGCAATTCCTCACACCGTCTCTGAGTCACTTAGAACTAAACTTCTGAGGGGAACTGGACTTTACGTCCTCTCTGAAAACCTCAGTTGGTGACCGAGGAGAACTACCCGTTCTTCCAGAACTTTATTTATGAAATGAAATGAAAATGAAATGAAAAAATAATTTTATTCTGGGACTACTGTCCCCTAAGAATAATAACAGAGTTACAAATCTATGTATCCCAGTCTGACATAATAAAAATACAAACTAATTTATTGTTAATTGTTATTTCAATTGTGCAATGGATTGAAATTAAACATTGTATAGATGCAAGTAATTTTACATGTTAGGGGAAGTTTGAATGTGGAGTAGGTGTTGGAACAGGAGTTGTTTGAAGGAATTTGTGGATGAGGATTGTCGCATGGAGGTAGTAAGTGAGTTCCATAAAGAAGCAGCACGAATGACGAAGGATTTGCTGAAGGAGGAAGTTTTATGGGAGGGAATATATAAGTCTATAGGTTTAGACCTAGTATAGAGAGAGTGGATAGAGGAGCGCAGAGTAAGGAGTTCCAGGATGTAGGGAGGATTTTTAGTTCTGAAGACTTGGAAAAGGAAAACGCCAAGGAGGAATTGTCGTCGTGAAATAGGATAAAGCCACTTCAACTCGGTGTACCATAGTGAAACATGTGAACGCCTGGGGATCCCGAAAATGTATCTTATGAAGCAATTCATGAGTCTTTTTAATCTCATTTCCACCCTGGCAGATAGCCCTCCATACACCAAGCAGGCGTAGTCGAAGTGGAGGAATACAAGGGAGGTTACAAGGAGCTGTCTGGTTTTTAGAGGAATACAATCACGAAATCTTAGGAGTTATTTAAGAGCAGTTATGGATTTTCGGGTAATCTGGGTGATATGATTATTTACGGGTGGAAAACCGCAGTTGGCTCTGCTCATTTTCATATTCCAAAAATAGGACCATTTTCTGGACTTTAATGGGCACAAATAACCTGGAGGGAGTCACCCAACCTTACGTTGCTACGAAGCATGGTCTCCATGGTGTAGCGGCAGGCTACCCATAATTCACAGTTTACCCATAGGCTAGCCAATCTCTTTGGTGCCTATCTGGCAGTGATCTTTCCACCAGTGATCTAGATCTATTGATTACGGCTGCTCAAAGTAAGCAGCTGCATGAGGACCTATATTTCTTTCCCTCAAACAGACCCGTTCATGGGCCAAACTTTAGGGAGGCTACTGACGTACGAAACCACAACACGATGATTTCCGATTAAATTGTACGGTTTGATGACCCTATCACACCTACGCCTGGTCGGTGTAAGTTGCCTCGAGTAGATTGACTGGGCCATCATATCCGGAGGAAGGAATTTCAGCGTGACTTTTTCTGATCGACGGGCATTCAATTCGAGTGGTCACCTATTTAAGTACCACGCTCGACATCGCTTAACTTTACTACCTGTTGCACTTAACACCGTAGGCTACTTGAATATTCCTACCTCCTCCTCCAGATATATTTTATAATTTGTACTAACTCTAGAATTATATGTTAAAAACAGTGTGTAAAAAAAATTTCGCAATTAAGAAGACCAAAATTCTCCACATCGAATTCGATTGAAGCAAGTCACGGAATATTTTTTGTTTTTAAAATGATAAAATTTCACAAAGAAAGCGGGATGGAAAATATTCAACCTTATTGTTATTTTATGTTTTTCAACGGTAAATCCTCTAGATGAAATAGAAAGAAACTATATAAAATGATATTTAGCTAGTCTTTGAAGGCCTGTTAAAAAAAAATTAAATTACACCAATAATCATACTGATAATATATAGGTAATACACGTTATAATTTGAAAATACTTCATCTCGTAATTGTTTAAACATTTATCTCACATCATTCACAGAAAAAAATATCGACTAGCCAAAAAAAAAAAAGAAATGTTCAGAGTTATATTTTTTTTCATTTTTATATCATTAGAAATTAGCCAAGTTGGTGTGACCTACATCAAATTATCTAGTAAGGATATATTATATACGAGGATCTATAGTAAGATCAATACAGAAGTTTAGGTATTCTCAACAATAATTTTTTTTTCATTTCAGTAATGAAAATTCACTTCAAAGTAATATAAATAAATAATTTGAAAGATTTAATGATCAGGAACAAACAGCACACTTATATTCTTCTACTTCGAAGAATACTTGATAACAATTTACAAAAAGTCTTTATTTTCTTTGTTCTTTATCTTCGCAAATGGGACAAAGGTAAATCACATCATCTCATTTCGGTACCGGACTTTTCTTCTTTTTTTTTTTTTTTTTTTGTCTTAACAATCCTAATTGGGCTTCCCAAAAGTTATTCTTGCTCCCCCCCCTCCACCCACTGTAAAACCTCCCTAGTCCTTAACAGTCTGTGAATAATACTTTCAAGTCTGTTCTACCTTAAATTCCATCCCCTCCTACCTCTTTGCTTTCCTGACTTCTTTCTTAATTACTCCCTAAAGGAAAGAAGGTTATTCAATCTTAGCCGGCTTTTCAAAATCAACTCAGCGGTAAAATTTATGGCTAGGATCCAAATACTTTTAATTTTATGAAAAATGTAAAAAAAAAAAAAAAAATACCAAAGGTAATAAAAAGTTACTTATAAAGATATACCCTTCTTGAAGAAAAGATAAAATGAGAATGTTTTTTTTCACTGATAAAAAAAAGATAAACACAACTCGGTGTACGCGCGCAACATTTTGCCCGCCCGACAACTTTAGACGCGAATTAATGAACTCGTAAAACTGTAAAGACATTGAAATTTGCTTTTATTGTGAAAAAAACAACACTAACATTGACATTTTCTCGGCTAATAAAGCTTTTATCTCGACAGTTCGTCTCACGAGAAGTAGATTGGTAAGCGACTTTTATTAGACCAGTCGCAACATATGCATGTGAGACGTGGCCACTTTAAAAAATCAGTAGCTTTGAACGTAAAATATTAAGGCACATTTTAGGGTCTGTGAGAGAAAATTAAGTATATCAGCTTAGAGAGAATAGAGAATTATACTTCTCATATGAAGTTGTCGGACTATGTCAGCGTCTGAAGTAGATGGGTCACATCCGTAGAATTGATGATGGGAGAACCGTCAAAAAGTTATACCTGGGTTATCCGGAAGGAGTGTGGGCTCGAGGGAGGCCTAGAAGTACAATAGATGGAAGGATAACGTCTCAAAAGACCTCTGAAAGTTTAGCATGTCTTTAAGACTACGGACCGACAGAACTGGGCTAAAGCGATTGAGCAGGACAAGGACCGCTTTGAAGAAGAAGAAGATTGACATAATGAATACTGATACTTCTTACAAACTAGCATCGTGAGACCTAAACTGATATTACATGCCTGACTGCAAAACTTGGAATTGTCTGTAGGATATTGTGGAGCTCAATATATATGAAATGATAATGGAGGGGATGGCTATTAGCATGGATGGTCCGATTCCCGTGGGAGAGTTAGTTTTTAGTTAAAAGTAATAATGCACCAAGCAAATGCTAACTATAAACTTGGTCCTCTAATTATCTAGAACCGATGGTCAGTCGTCTAGGAATGAGGTGTTCTTAGTTGACATTGACGAACTATAACTGTTCATACATGGCCAGATGCCTCTTTGAGACAAATAAATTAACAATATCACTACTATAAATAATGAAAAAAAATAGTAATAATAATTATAGATATTTAACTCGCGAACTAAATTGTACTCGCCTAACCTGTTACAGCAATTACCATGTTGTCAGATAGCTGCATTAGATTACTTCATTTAGGCAATGTAAGGTGCGTTTAGACACTTCGCAAACTATTGGAAACACAATTATCTAACTTAACTAATAACTACATTATTGCTAAATTAAACTATTTATTTTATTTCTCTTGATACCGACATAAGATAAAAAATATCAAAAACAATAAACAAAAATACTAGCATTGTAAAATAACCAGTTATATAAATGTATTTGGTTGTCCCAAAATTAGTGAAATATCTAAACGCATCTTTACTGATTAAGGAGAAAACAAAAATTAATTATTTCTTTGTGATTTATTAGTATAATTTCATAGTTTATTTATCTCTCCTATTTTCCTTTTTATTGGACTACTTATAGCAGTTGCAGATTACAAAGTGACACCTTTATCGCAAAGACAATAAACATGTAAAATTGTTACATATGATCTTTAGCACTAAAAAAAACAAAAAAAAACCTGTATCACTACAATCCATGGAGGGTCTTGGGTTCAGTACTATTTAGGGAAAACACTGTTTCTAGGTCAACGGTTGTGCAAGGAAATGATTCGACCAAGATCGCGCTCAACCGCCAGGTTTTTCCCCTTGAATAATTATTTAATTAAGGGTACCCACCTTATAAAGGCTGGGTGTGCCCCAGGAGGGTCTTCCGACCCAGCGTTGCCCCACGGCCAATGAAACAGATAAATAAATTTTCTGCCATGAGTCGGGGTTCGAACCTGGGACCTTTAGCATTGGAAGCTCAGTACCCTACCACTGAGCTACCCCACTCCCTCTTTAGCACTAAAATATAATTTTCATTGTCCGCCACATTTGTTTTCTTGGAAACAAAGTAAACACTCTGTTGCTTGCGATTTTATTTTCTTCTGTTTGTATTTCTAGTGTTTTTGAAATGTGAAAACTTAATAAGTGATAAATTGGAAATATAATCGTGTTGCTTTGAAAATAGTGGAATTTTATGGTTTTACAGTATTATAACAATATTTTTCTATTAATCTTCATCATTATTGTTACCTTTGATAAACTCTCTCCTGGAAACCACACATCTCCCAAATTTCCCGTCGTACTATCTCTACCCTGAAACAGTTTAACCGTCTCCGCTATCTCCTTCCATATAAATCCCGACAGCTCCTGGTTTCCTCCCTTGTGTTCCCCCACTTCGACTGTGGCTGTCTAGTCTACGGCGGACTCTCGGGAGAATTCAAGACCATACTTAAACGCCTGATGAACTGCGCAATGTTTTCGGAATCTCAAGAGATACGCATATAACTCAGCATTATACCAAGTTGAAGTGGCTCTATCCATCAAACCGCCGTCTGTACTTCCTTGCTACCTTTCTATACCAAGCCATCAGAACTCAGCGACCTTCCTATATTTTTCACAGCCTACAATTTAAATATTCCATTCAATCCCGTCCCACTAGATCCCGTACTTCTGACCTCTATCCACCTCCTCACCGAACTGCTGCGTTTGACAAATCCTTTATAATTCAATCCGTCTCCACCTGGAATATCATCCCTCCCGATATCCGACATGCGCAATCAGTTTCCTCGTTCAAATCCCTCCTTTTTAAGCACCTAATTCTTTCCCAACCCGATTGAACATGAAAAGTAGATAAGAGAACTTTTTAAGTTCCTCCAGAAATGGTTTTGTTTAATCATGTTATTTTATTTTCACATGTTTGTATTGTATATATATATATGTATGTATTTAGTGGTTTTGTTTTAGTTTTCATCCAATATTTTTATTTTATTGAGCATTGTAAATATTTAATTTAATTTTCTGACCACACAAGTATTTCCTCTGTATCTTTAATTTGTCCTAAAGGGACAAAAGTCCCAGGATAATAAAAATCTATTTTCATTTAATTTTCATTTCATTATTATTATTTTTTTTTTTTCAAGAACAAAAAGCAAATTACAAATTTGGTAATTTTGCATTCAAAGTATCTATATCATTCCCTCTAAGCCTTATTTCGGAATGTCATTCATGACCTCTTTTGCTGCAGGTAACAGGATAGGAATGACCTACTGCTCGAGGATGTTCAGCGACTGCGACAGGAAGGACTGCCGCCTCCAGAGCCCCAACTTCCCCGGGGTGTACCCCAGGAACATGACCTGCTACTACGCGGTCCGCCAGCAGGCGATCCCCAAGGGCAAGCACGCCCTCATCTCGGTGTACCAGCCCGAGGGGCAGCTGGTCAACATCAGGAGTCAGAGCGCCCTCTATATCGCTCCAACTCAAACATCCAACAGTCACTTCAAGAGTTTGAAGGTATATTACTTTAAGTGTTAAATATTCCAACACTTACTAGACAAACGTTCTAAACTTTCAGTTAATTACAAAAGACACATCTACTTAACTATAACAACACCTATATGCACATACGAAGTTGAGCTTTGGGGCTCTACCAAACCATCAAATTCCTATCGTTTCCAATCCTTACAATCCAAAATCCTTCGTAAAATCCTTAATGCCCCATATTTTGTCATCAAAAAAACACATATCATAAAGACCTTAATGTTCCATATGCGGCTGATTTAGCCCGAGCCAGATACCTATCCTTTCATGATAAACTCCAGTCCCATCCTAATCCACTTGTTTCCAGCCTTGCTTCTTCCTCGATTTCTGATAATCCCCTTAGGCGTCTGAAAAGAAAATGTCCTCGTGACCTTCTCATCTAGAATTAAATAGGGAGTGCTACCACTGGGCAGTATTAAATGGATACAAAATAAATAATTTTTATTCATTTATTTAAACAAGTATAAGTTTGGAAGATTTTAAATTTGCCATCTGCAAATTGGTTGCGATAAGAAATTCTGCGCAAATTACACATTAAGTAAGAAAATCTCTGGTCCACCGCTTAAAAAGTCATCGGAGTAGGATGTACGGGTTCCTGGCGGAAATAAGTTCCTGGACTAATTACACGGTGGGCCAGACCCCCTTACCGTGCACCCCCCCCCCCACATCCCTATAAATTGCATATCGTTGTGTTCCTTGTAACTATTTATTAAAAAAAAGCCAATGTTCCCACAAAAAAAAGTGAACGCACTGCCCCAAAATGGCGTCCAAAGATGGCGGATTGACGACTTTGACTTTAGTTAGTTTTTTGGTCACTGAGAATCAGGATTTGGCTTAATTTCCTCATAGTTGGTCTTTTATTAAAGCTGAATAGTTATAGAATAATAAAACATGAAGAAATATTAAAAAATAATTGGCTTAGGCTATGAAAAACACCAGTAAAGTCAATTTTTTTAATAAAAAAATTTTCAAGTTACAAATCAAGCGTCGTTTGTAATTAAACGGCCTACAATAACGCAAAACGTGCTGAAATAAACCATCTGGAGAATATATTTCTCTTTTTAAAACGCTGATTACTTTTCACAAATGTTTAAGCAGTTCCGTAGAAAATGCACTTATGCGGCAGAAAAGCGGTACTGGCGTGGGTGCCTACAGGCCTCTACCACACCATTCAGTGCCCATAAATGGCTTAGTTATAGTGATATAATAACATTTTTGGTACATTATATTGGTTTAATTAACGAACAAATATTAATACAATAATTTAAATGTAAAAAAAAAAAATTTAAATTTAAAAAAAAAATTTATTATTATTTTTTTTAAATTTAACCTCCTTTATTCTGTACGTTGGTCGTTTAAGAAGACCTCAATTGTAAAAATGATATAATTATAATAATAAAAGTTAATTAAAAAATACTTTGCTAAATATCTTGATTTTTTTTTTTATTTAACGTTTGCAATTGAACACTGTGTTTTGTATATTTACTGATTCTTAGAAGTAATTAAAATGTTTATATACTTCCCAGGAAATGAGTCATATTAATACCTTTTTTATAAACTAAAATAATATATACCTAATCTGAACTATATATAATGAATAGATACCGGGTTGTTTAGTAAAACTCATATATCACTAATTAAAAAATTTATTTTTATTTCCTTTATTTCGTGCAGAAGTTGGGCTATATCATAAATAAATAGAAAATTTTAATATTGAATGAATTATTCTCTATGCACAAAGAAAGAAAGAAGGGGTGATGCTATAAGTTCTTCTATAAACCAAAACTGATTGTTTGGATTTGATCTCAAAATGAGGAAAAACGCAAATAATACATTAAGGGAACGAGAAAGGAAGTACCAAAACCTCGGAATAGATAAAAAGGACCAGTATCCATTATATAGCTAAATGAATGTATAGTAAAGAGATGAACAGAATATTTCAAGATATCGAGAAAGTTATAGCTCATAGCTTTCCTTCTGTTTAGTGCATCTGCAAAAGATTTTTTAAGGAATCTAAAAGGAAAACGAGCTTTTCTTAAAGACAGTTAGATATTAGCATAATCCAAAGTGTGAGGCACTAAGCAGATAGAGAGCTGTTTTTCTTTTTATGTGGACTTCTCCATAACCTGCCTCAAAGTGAAGACAGTCCCAATTTTCAAATTCTCTTCCAATGTGCAACTTAAGTTTCTCAATCCATATCACTCTGGCAATCGACAATATTTCTTATTCCAGCTTCTACGATTCTTGAGTATAATTTGTTTGGTAGACTAAACAGGAATGGATCTTGATGGGTATTACATTTCCTAGTACCTCCTTTCTTGTAAAGGTAAAAACCACAGTCCTTTTATGTTATTTTCTAATATGCTTGTTGCCTATGTACGCGCAAAACTATCAAAGCAGTTCGGTTTCGCCCTTTCCATCTTTCTTTGTGCAGAGAGAATAATACATTCAATATTAAAATTTCCTATTTTTTTATGATATGGTACAAATTCCGAACAATTTATTCCGCAATTTCTGAACAATAACGAGCTATAACTAATATAAGATTCCTTAAAAAATCAGAAGGAAAGCTATGAGCTATACCTCTCTATATCCTGCTTCAAAGTAAATATAGTCCAGATGTGCACCTTCAGCAATCGAAAATAAAATGGTTTTCACCATAATAAACCTACATCGTCCACTTAATATCATCCAAACTGCAATTGATCCCGTTTTAGCAGCATCTTGAAATATTCTGTTCATCTCTCTACTATACATTCATTTAGCTATATAATGGATACTGGTCCTTTTTATCTATTCCGAGGTTTCGGTACTTCCTTTCTCGTTCCCTTAATGTATTATACGCGTTTTTCCTCATTTTGAGATCAAATCCAAACAATCAGTTTTGGTTTATAGAAGAACTTATAGCATCACCCCTTCTATCTTTATTTGTGCATAGAGAATAATTCATTCAATATTAAAATTTTCTATTTATTTATGATATAGCCCAACTTCTGCACGAAATAAAGGAAATAAAAATTAATTTTTTAATTAGTGATATATGAGTTTTACTAAACAACCCGGTAGCTATTCATTATATATAGTTCAGATTAGGTATATATTATTTTAGTTTATAAAAAAGGTATTAATATGACTCATTTCCTGGGAAGTATATAAACATTTTAATTACTTCTAAGAATCAGTAAATATACAAAACACAGTGTTCAATTGCAAACGTTAAATAAAAAAAAAATCAAGATATTTAGCAAAGTATTTTTTAATTAACTTTTATTATTATAATTATATCATTTTTACAATTGAGGTCTTCTTAAACGACCAACGTACAGAATAAAGGAGGTTAAATTAAAAAAAAATAATAATAAATTTTTTTTTTAAATTTTAATTTTTTTTTTTTACATTTAAATTATTGTATTAATATTTGTTCGTTAATTAAACCAATATAATGTACCAAAAATGTTATTATATCACTATAACTAAGCCATTTATGGGCACTGAATGGTGTGGTAGAGGCCTGTAGGCACCCACGCCAGTACCGCTTTTCTGCCGCATAAGTGCATTTTCTACGGAACTGCTTAAACATTTGTGAAAAGTAATCAGCGTTTTAGAAAGAGAAATATATTCTCCAGATGGTTTATTTCAGCACGTTTTGCGTTATTGTAGGCCGTTTAATTACAAACGACGCTTGATTTGTAACTTGAAAATTTTTTTATTAAAAAAATTGACTTTACTGGTGTTTTTCATAGCCTAAGCCAATTATTTTTTAATATTTCTTCATGTTTTATTATTCTATAACTATTCAGCTTTAATAAAAGACCAACTATGAGGAAATTAAGCCAAATCCTGATTCTCAGTGACCAAAAAACTAACTAAAGTCAAAGTCGTCAATCCGCCATCTTTGGACGCCATTTTGGGGCAGTGCGTTCACTTTTTTTTGTGGGAACATTGGCTTTTTTTTAATAAATAGTTACAAGGAACACAACGATATGCAATTTATAGGGATGTGGGGGGGGTGCACGGTAAGGGGGTCTGGCCCACAGACTAAATAGGTTTATGTTGTAAGTCAGTATTTAGTGGAAGTTTTTATAGTAAATAAAATAAAGAAAGAAAAACTAAAGAAATAATCTACAATTAGAGGAGGATAAAACGAACTAGGCGGCTTCATAGGGCCCCGGATTGGAAAGGCACTTTGGTGACCAATAAATATTGAGTAATTCTCCTTTAAAATAATGGAAAATAATACAAAATTTATTCCATTATTTACATTTCGTTTATAGGGTTTTAACTTTATAGCAACGGATTTGACTTTAATACATCATAAATTCCAACCATACCTCTCATATTACGATCTTAATGTAAATATTCCGCTGTACAAACCCCTTTTTATCAAATTATTAACATCCAGCTAAAACTTCGTGAATCTCATCTAATCGTAATCTGCAACGTCTTTATATACGAAAAATCTCATAAAATTAATCAATTCAATAAGATACTATAAACTCATCAATACTTTTCCATTTGAATCGTAGGATAATTTGACCACAAAGTCGAGATAAAAGGTGGCCAACAAAAATATTGGGTCGTTTGGTGTGACCTCCACCCCGACATGTCAAAAAAACAGGGTTACATAAGCCTAACGGCACAATATTTTTGTAGGCCACCTTTTTTCTCAACTTGGGATCAAATTACCCTACGATCCAAATGGAAAAGTATTCATGAGTTTATGGTACATTATTGAATTAATTAATTTAATAAGAAAATTAAAGAATTAGAGAATTCATAGATAAAAAAAGTTGTAGGTTACGATAAAATGAAGTTATTCACAAAGGTTAAGATGGATGTTAATAATTTCTTAATAAGGGGTCTGTATAGCAAACTAAAACTGTAACATCAACTATAATAACAATTATAGATGATCAAAATATCACCTTTGCGAGCGTACGATTATTTTTATTTAACAAAAGATATATTTATACAGGATATAAAGGATAAAATATGCCAAAATAAAGAAAACTATTAAAAAAAAAATGAATAAAAAAAAATCCCTAAGAAAAAGAACATTTACCTCTCCTCCCCCTCCTCAATAAATTAATCACCTATACAGAATGAGTTATACTGTAAAACAAAACAAAAAAAAACAGTATATTTTTTTTTAATTCATGGGGCGCACTGACAGATAAAGCACATACGACAACTGTATTTTATTTATTTTCGTATTTCATAACATTACGTCAGATGGAACCATTTATTGAACATTGCTCTAAAATAAAGGTATATATCATCATTTACATAATGGACACTTATTTTGAGTGTCAAATTCGACTACAGTTTTATTATATTGACATATACTTAGAAACTATAATTATTGGCAGTGTGCAACTGCATGATAATTTGTTTTTTCAACAAAATAAGGTCTATGGACTGTAAGGTAAAGCTGAGAATGATGTGAAAGAGGATAAAATTTATTGCATAGCTTATAATATTGTCCCTGGAAGCATTCTGTATCATTCTCTGATTGAACATGCTTCTTCTTAGTTTCAGTATGTCCGCTGTAAGTTAATGGAAGAAATCTTTAAATAAAATGCTAAAGTTACAGTCCACAAAATTCTCAATTGCTTATTTCATTAAATATTTACTAGTAAGCATCAATTAATTTGTAAAGTTGCGGTAATTATTAAGATGAGGACCGCACGGGTTAGTTGCGGTTCACAATCACTTCGGTCACACTTGTTCATGGAGTGCAAAATGCGTCCGAGGGAAAAGACTGTTCCTTTCATGAACAAGTGTGATCGAAGTGATTGTGAACCACGCGTAACCCTTGTGATCCTCATCTAATTAATCTAAGTTACTTATTCTTCTTTTGAAGAAAATCGGTTAAATAATTAAATATATTGAATTGATTTTTAATGTCTAGCATTAACAATATTTTTAGCTTTTTGAGCTGAATAAACACAATTTTAGAATGAAAAGTCAAGTCTATGTGGAACTTTATAATGAATTCTATTATATTCTAAAGCTGCCTTTAGACATTTCACAAACTGTGGGTTAAAAAAGTATATAAAACATTATTTCACTATGCTCTGTATTTTTGTTTCTTGTTTTTTATGTTTTCCATCTGCTGTTGGTATCAAGAGAAATAAAATAAATAGTTTAGTTTAGCAATAATATCGCTGTTAGTTAAGTTAGATAATTGCATTTCTTCTAGTTTGTGAAATGTCTAAACGCATCTTAATACGCCGCAGTGCAACTGCTAAGAATTAATGTACGAATAATTTAACGAACAGAACATTAACTAAAATTATATCAGTACCTTATTGCAAATAGCAAAGACGCTTTTGTCATCCTTTCTCGATAGTTAATAATTGTAATTCATTAGCAGATGAAAAGTAATAAATTTCTTTTTAAGAAACAACTATAATAATTGTAGCGGAGCGCATTGGTACGGAGCTGGGACAACACTAAATGCGAAGTACAATTATGGAACTTGCACAGACATGTTGAGTCTAAAGTTCAAACTAGTAGATTTATATGAAAATAAAATAATTGATTCATGTAAATTATAATTTATAATAAACAGATACCTCAGATAGTTTGATGTAGTAATGCATTAGGAGATATAATCAATTTATTTTGTAAGGAATAACTTAAATAATTGTTGCGAAATGCATCAGCACGGAGTTGGAACAACACTGTGAGTGAATTTGATCATGTACATAAGAATTTTCTAATTATACAGAATATGATGAGTGGTTACATTAATAATCGATTAAGATAATTACTTGTATGAGGACTACATGGATTACAATGGTTCACGATCACTCGGTCACACTTGTTCATGAAACGCCGAAAAGTCTTTCTGATAAACCAGGATGCACTTGGTATTCCATAAACAAGTGTGATCAAAGTGATTGTGAACCACGCGTAAGCTGTTCGATCCTCACCTAAATAATTACCTGGATTAATTTATTTAAAGTATTTATTTATTCGAAAATCATTTCAGTACCTTACTGTAAATCGAAAAGAAACTTTTACAATTGTTTACAGATATTTAAAGATCGTGATTCATTAGGTGACCCAATAAATTTCTTTTATAAGGAATAACTTTCATAATTATTATGAAATGCATCAGTGGGGTACTGGAACTTCATTGAGGGTGAAGTACAATGATCGAACATGCATACACAGTTGGAGTCTAAAGTTTAAAGTAGTGGTTTTATATGAAGATAAACTAATTTCATCCTGTAATTTCAATTTATAATTATACAGAAAATTACTTAGAGGAGTACTATGGGCAAAACATTTTAAGCGTAATTGACAATACCAAAATTATTGATAAATTTGTATGAAAAAAATATAAAAGAAATATCTATATTTTTAATAAACTAGTTTAATGTTTTTATGATGAGGATTTTTTTTTTGTTTTATTCTTCAAATGTTATGTAACTTTTTGAGATTTTTCATGAATTTAATTTTGACGTTTTAACAATGTAGGTCCCCCTGCTTGATCTACCAATGTTTATGAAAGGAAATGATTTATATTAATGTCATGTGGAAAAATAGTTATAATTTCTAAGTTATTTATACTAAATTTTCAATATTTGAATTGATTAAGTTTCACTTTTAAGTTTGCAAATTATGTCTGTATAATAAGCTTTTATTATAAATTTGAAAAAATTTCATTTAATGTCAAAATGGTATTTTTTTTTTTATATAAATTATTTTCTGACCATATGAATGAATAGCACTAATGCAGAAATTAAGGTCTTACGGTCAGTTATGAATTAGTGGACAACCTAAACAGACCAAAATTTATATAAAATTTAATATTCTAATGTTGCTTAATAATCCAAATGTTTTACTAACCAATTTTTGTTTATCAACCAATGATTCAGTTATTGTGGAAGGTATATTATGTCTTGTATATTTAAGGCGTATATTTAATGACTAATAAGAGTAGACAATAGTTAAAAATATATAAATTTAATTATTTATTATCGAATCACTTGTATAACTCCACTTATAGAACCACTTATATAAAAGTAAAAATGTTTTATAAAACTATGCTGCACAACCAGGTGTGGGAAGAGTGTGATGAAGTGCAGGATTACGTAACTGTATATGATGGCTACACAACGAGGGATCCCGTCCTCCTTCGTTTCTGCGGTGGGGGAGCATCTGTACCAAGGGCTGTGTCTTCTGGTCCCGAACTACTTGTAGAATTTTCAACCTCGCCTTATGGCACATTCCTTTATCCTGCGACCATCCCTCAGCCTCTTCATGGTTTTCAGCTTAAGGTAGCTGTAAGTATGCCCAGTTTTATAAAAAGTAAAACTATTTTCTCTCTAAATAAAAATATGATTATATCACCTGTTATAAATATTGGTACATTGATTACAATTTATTTTTTTTACCGTAAAGCCCACCATACTGTTTGACATGATGATCTGGTTTCAGGTAGAGTTTGTTGATCGTGAAGAACCATTGTATACAAGGAATAAGAAATGTGAGTTCTGGTTATCAGGTACCGGTCACGGTGTCCTCGAGAGTCCAAGAAACTCATTGCCTCCTAACACAACGTGCCTTTATCATTTTTGGGGAGCTGTTCCAGGGACCACTGCACCACCTAAACAACACCCACGACCACCCAGGTAATTTATTAAAATTACCATTTTAATTCATAAAAGAGATCCTAATAAACGTTTTGACAGGTCTTTGTTATCATTCATCAAATAATTTCAAGTGCTCATGTTTTTAGAACTCAGTTCTTCTCCAATTGATCTGTAGAAGGGCTGGAAATTAAATTTTAACATTTATTTATAATCAACTTTGGTATGCCTGGAATATTTATTCATTTTTTTTTTTTTTTTTTTGTCTCGGAACTAGAATTTTTTTCCTAAGTACTTTTCAAGTAAAGGTTTTATAGAGCTTCTATTTTTAAAAGATTTTTATTTAAAAGTCTGTTGAAGCAATTAATTTTGCCAGAATTATCTCTAAAAATTACTTTTATTCTTAGCTACTCAAACAATTGATACACTAGAATCAATTTATTTATTTAAGATAAATTATAATTGTAATCAAAGCCCCATTACAGTTTATTTCTCACTTTCATTTCTTTAAGAACTTAAATAAATAAAAGTTAAACTTTTATCATAAAACAAGAACTTTTTGACAAAACAAATCCTTAAAACTTTTATTATGAAAACTTTTTTTGTAAACAGTTTCACAGGAACAGTGAAAAAGCAACTTTTAAAAATTCTATAAAAGTTTCAACCCATAATCTGTAGTATTTACACTCTTTATTCATTATTTAGGAAACATAATTTTAGCAATAACATTTTATTAACATTAATATGAAACTATTTTAATATATATTATAAAAACATAATGATGAAATTGTACGCAGGTATAGAGTATGGCTTTCGATATTAAAATACCACGTTGGACTTTCACCAAATGAAGAAATGCAGCCTCAATATTCAGAGAAAAAAGATGTGGACTGTTCCACTAGTCTCAATATTTGGGATGGTACTATTAAAACAGCCCCAGCCTGCGCAAAAGAGAACTGGTAAGATTTTCTCAATATTATTATTATAAATTAAATTTATTATATTCTGATATAAATATATTAATTTCTTCAATTAAATGTTAACATAATATATCTATATCTAAACTCTGAAATGCTTCATTGTGTGAACATAAATTATAAGTTAATAATTTTCTTTCTTATAGATGTCTTCCAACCACAAACTACAAATTAATTATTCACCGAAACACAAAAATAGATAAATGATTATAGTAATATTTTTTTATTTAAAAATTATTATCCATTCTAGCCTATAAAATACTAATTGTTGGTTTATTATTTTGACCTATGGTCATTGGAAGGCATAATTAATCGTATCTAATGAATTCTATTTATAGTAAAGACACCTCCCAACAAACTGTGATGAATTCAGGAGTAAAACTTTTAGCAAGCTACTGCCAGCAACAAATTCCAAGATCATGTGACCATCAACTTCTCTCGAACCTTACGAGACCCTGTACCCTATCTGAAAGTTTCCTCTCATCGGGAGATTCAGCGACTCTGGAACTAAAGATGGTGGAAGCTACTGTTTTAAGGTATAACTTATTAATTTTTTGGCTTATAACAAGATAATGGTTAATGAAAATAAATCCCTCAGAGGCATCTGAAAAGAAGATGGCCTCGTGATCTACTTATGTATTTTATTAGAGTGCTACCAATGGGTATTTTCTCAACAAGCGTTTTCATGTGATTGTATTATTACTGTCTGCAAATTTACTAGTTTTATTTTTTATAATACAGTTGTTTATATCAATGAATAAAAAAAATAATAAAATAAATAAATATAACTAGAAAAAATATTGTAGTTTTGGTTGATTTTAGCTCTCTGACTATAATACAATTAATTGAAAATAGGTTTTACAAATAATTGAGTTGCATAATATCAAAGACAGACATCTGTCATATTCAGAAGAGGAGAAATATAAAATATATGTTTTATAAGTTCAACTCAAATTGTTTTGGATGATTTTATTTTAGAACATTCAAGTAGATTTAGGAAAAAAGTCATAAGAATTGGTTTAAATTGAAGGTATGTTACATAAAATTGATTTTTTCTCAACTTTAAAAAAAGAACAGATATCCATATTTTATATTAAGCCACTTAATTGTATTATAAAAAGTGGAACTATGTAAAGTGAAAGTATTATTCAGTTAAGCGGTATTCTTAACAAACTAACGAATTTATTGTAAAGATATGCTAGAAGTTTGGAATTTTAGCTAGTCAATCATGGCCAATTCCTCAGGCAGATAAATCTATCAATTTTAAATACACAATATTGTGTTCGTGATCTTTAATGGTCAATACCAATAATAATTGAGTTCATGAATTTATTTCTCAAATAAAATTAATTTAACAGTGAATATTTAGATTGATCTATGGCTAAATTTATTATAATATGAAATTAAAGGCAAGTTATTTTTGTTACATGCCTTAGACGAGTATCCTTCAAAGCTCTCTATGAGTTTGTGGATTTCCATCAGGACGGAGAACAGTATGGGATTGGCAAGTGTTCTCGTATCTTCACCCCACATCAAATTCATCCGTCTATTCAATACACAGCACAAAATTTCGCTTCTCCAAGAGAAATATTTTTGTTTGGACGAGGTGGCTCAAAAAATATAAGGTAAAAACATATTTTAATAACAATTATTTGTTTCACAAATTGCACATATTGCATTGGTCATATATTTTGTCGAAGATAATCTAACGAATTATACATTAATTCAGTTGTAGATATCGATTTGAAGCCCAGAAAGGAGAACGAGTTAGGCTGACTTTAACTAATCTCAGAGCAGGAAACAGAAGTGATTGTGAGACACAAAATGAAGGAGGGTGGGGGCGCTTAGAGTGTGTCGGAAAACCTTCTGCTTTTGTACAAATCCAAGAGGTAATATCGCTAAATTGTTATTTGATTAATCATAGGAAAACACTGTATCAATCACAAGTTAATTTAAATATTATTTATTTAATTTAATTGAATAGTAGAAGATATATCATATTATGTTAACAGGTACCGGTTTCTGGCTCAGAAATATTTCTTCCAAAGGACTGCCTATGCACAAATGCTGAACCGTTTCTTCCATTCACATACACTTCCAACAGTCATATAGTTGAATTACACTTCATCGTTAATAATATGTCCCACTTTGACGACTACACAAACTTAGGTTTTGAAGGTACGTGGGAGTTTGTGAGGAGGCCTCCTTGTGAAAAAAGAAAACTGCTTCATGGTCCATCTGGTGAAATAATTTTCACTGCTCCAAGTCAATCAAGGGAAGATGTAAGTTTTCTTCTTCTACGAGTATTTAGTTAATATAATCCAATAATGATTTATAGGCTTGCAGGCAACCCGCAGACTGAGCTTATAATCTTGTACAGAGGTTTTTCCAAATAAAAATAAATCCTATATAATCTAAATAATCCTAATTATAATAGGCACTCTTCTTGAACTTTAAATAAAAAATAAAAGCTATTTTTTTTTTTTACTTTTAAGTAGGATGATTAAAACTTGTTACATTATGAACCCACATGTAATTATTTTACCCTTAAAGGTATCTTCTTTTTCCATTAGTAGTGCATTAGAGGATTAAACAAGTTGTTTTGATTGACTTAAAAAAAGGTTTTTATTTAGTTATCTTCATTACTTAAATTGAGAATCTTCCTTGAGTTTAATAAGATACTTTAATACTACATATTTTTAATGACGTTGACGAGGCTTATAGCAAGAATTTACTTTACTAAATCAGTTGATTCCAAAAATATCAAATTTATGGTATATTCTAAAGCTAGTTGAAATTAAATTCTTGAATAGAAAACTTACTTTGTACCTAATATTTTAATTCTGAAATACAGAAATTATTAATATATAAAGAAAATTCTGTTAAATATTAATCGGAATAGATAATAAATAAGTAAAATTTAGTTTTTATTGTTTATAGATTAATTGTGAAGGGCAACCATGGGTCATAGAACCAAGTCAGGCACGGTACTTGTATGTAAAAGTTCCCGGAGTAGTTGTTGGAAGGTCCGGTAACAATGCCAGGGATCGGAGGTATTGCTACACTGAGAATAGAATTGAGCTTCACAGTCAGTCTACTCACGTTATGGTGTGTCCAACTCCAGACAGTCCTAACAATATCGTAAGTAAAATATAATTATTTTTACAATAATATATGTTTAAGTTCAATTTTTAAAGATAGTGAATTCATATATTATTATTATTCATAAAAGGTATTATTCATAAAGTATTATTCATAAAATTGGTACATTCATAAAATCTTGGTGTTATTTTGAATTTCTACCTCTCATTTACTCAGAATTGGGTTTTATAATTTTTCCAAAGTATCATTATATTTTTTATTTATATTCTTTTGAATATATTTAAATAATATAAAAAATAATAATAATAATATCGACAGCTACACTGCAAAAGTCAGTAAGGACAATTTCTTTGAAAAATGAGGTTTTGAGCTATTCTGGTCAGTCTTGTCCTGGCACATATTCTGATCCTACAAAATGAAATCTACAATGTTTCATTTCTTCTCTATGGCCTTTCGTAAAAATCTGTAACTTTAAAATCAGGAAATTGTGGTATAAAAAAGTGTAAGTTACAGTGAAGGTTATAGAAATTGACAGAGAAGATTAAAGACCAAAAAAACATAATGAAGTGCTCGATGAAAGGTGGTCATGTAAATATAGAATACATAAAGCATTTTACACATAGACTACAGTATCTATTATCTTTATTAGTAGGCTAAAATTAATTTTTCTCATCTGTATTCTTTGTTTAATTTCTAATAAGTGACGGAAACTTCTAGCCTGACGCCTCTGTGCAAATGCCCGGGTTTCTCTGCCATGAGGCCGAAACTGCTGTGTCAGACTTTATGTAATTAGGCAAACCAAAGAAAAGAGTGGTAAGTGAGAATATAATATTGAAGGCCTTCAAAACAATCAAAACGTACTGGCAACTGCAAAATGATTGTGACTGGAAAAAAACTACAACACTGCCGAATTCCAGATAGAGAGAGACCGAGAATTGATTTCATCAATTGGAAAATTTAACATGAGATGAAAAAAGAGCTCTGGTTCAAACCAATGAATCTTCAAAACTGCAACAAGCTCAGAAATGAAGTGATCAACACATCATCAGTTGTCTAGAACTTATCAAGCATTCAAGAATCAAACCACCTCCATATGAAGTTGAGTGCATTAAAAACGAAACTTTCATAGACTATGCGAAATGGGGCCCATGCAGTCTGTTCAAGCCGCTCCTATAGTTGGAGACAAAAAAGTGAACAACCAGTGTGATCAAATACTCACGCTTTCCAGTCAAATGTTTTACAAATTTTTATTTGAAGTATCGTTTCTCTACATTTTGGAAACTGAATTTGTTTATGTCATGATTTGATTATTATAAAAAAAGTTATGAGTGTTACTACAATAAATTTGATTGTTTTTAACTAACTATTACCTGTTTTTTTTTAAGTAACTAAAAAGCTATAAGTTAGAAATAATGGTTCTAAAAGATTATTTTGCAGAAATACTATCAAAAAATTTATATAGAGCATTACATCTTTGTCTTAGGTCTGTAGAAAAAATTTAACCGAAAATATAATGCTCATAGAACAAAAATTATGCAGTTTTTGTTGTCCCCTGAAAATTTTTAGTTTTTCTTCTTACAGGCTTTTGCATTGTGGCTGCTGATATGTTATCAAACTGTTGAATAATTCTTTGGAAAAAATGAGAGTTCAGCAAAGGAATGGTTATTCACAATGTATTTCAGTGCAATATGGAAATATGGCAACATCAACTTAGCATCTGTTTAATTAATATTAATAAATAAATAATAAATGACTAGTTATAAAAATAATTATTGACAATAGATAATATATAATTAATTAAAAAATTTATTGTTAATAGATAATTATGATAGTTAATTTAAAAAATAATTATAAATTATCATGGAGATGCTCAGCTTCAAATATAATTAAAATATTTTTATAGACATATTGGTAGAATTAGTAGCCCTTAATATCTTAAATTCAATCATTTATAATTTTCATAACATTAAAATGATATTATATAATATTGTGATGCATTTAGCTGACAATAGAAAGTATATAACCAAACTTTAATAATTTCTATTTGGTTATTGAAACCATTTAGCTCAATAATCCCTTATCAAAATGTTTTTAGGTTGAAATATTCTCTGATGGATGGGTGATAGCTAACTCTGCTGAACGACTTCCTCCTGATTGGGCGAAGAATGACAAGAAAGAATCAAGAAACATAATAGTCGAGTTTTCTGGACGTCAAGCTGGAGTTTACATTGTTACTTGGCTAGAGTTAATAAGAAGGTAAATTAATGTGTTGTTTTATTTATTATTACTCAGAGTCCTTAAGCTCAAATAAATTGTTTAGATAACGTTGGAATATAAACAGTTCACAAGTAGAAAGACACATACACACTAAGGGAATCTCAACCAACAACTGAGAACCCACTGCTTTATTTGCTGAGATTCGGTTATAAAATAGCTGGCCTTATTTAAGATTGAGACTTCGAGCTGCAAGTATAAGTATTGGTACTGGACCACCTCTCCTAGTGTAAACAGAATTCCTAAGCTCTAAGACAAACAACCGACAAATGACAACTAATTTATTAGGGCAAACACTGCTTGCAACGAGAAAATTACCAATCACCATGGAATAGTTTTTTCCTTTGGAGAATTTTTTAAACAAAATGATTTTCAATTTGTTTTTTACAAAGCTTTTTTTATTTTGCTTTTTATATTGGAATCACAATTATCTAGGGTAGTGACATGGAGGAAGGTACACAGTTAAAAACATTGAACAAGCAAAGTTTTTCAACACATTCACTAATAGTTGATAAGAAAAATCATAATTCCAAAATAATAAATTTATATTTCTCAAAAATATCAATGTATTGATCTATAAAATATATAAACACATGATATAAGTGTAATTGTTATGTAAATAGCAAATGTTAAAATAATAAAATCTTATTTTTCACTTAAATTCTGCTATTTAAAAAAAAAATTTACAATGCCTTTTCTATTTTTTTTTAAATCCTGGATAGCGCGATCCCCACTTTCATATTGTTTGGTGATTTTCTAACATTTTAACATTTATCACCTATACAATTTATAACATTAATTATTGTCTCCAGACACAAAATAAGTCACTTTTGTTTAGCTGATCACTTTTTATGCAAACGTTTCAAACTATTGAATAACAGTGAAGTAAGATGTTAAGAAAAAAAAAATTTAGACGAAAGTTTCCAAATAATTTTAAAACATAGAAATGAGAAGGAGGAATTCTCAGTATTATTTTGTTTTATTTCAGTATCATATATTTTTTATGTTTCTAATTTTTTATATAAGCCAACATTACATATTTTCACTTTCACAATCCTCCTATGACATTTTGGCTTGTCGAGCTAGTTTCAAATCTACCATGTACTTGTCCATTATATTTCTTATGTAAAATACATGTGTCTTTTCTTAATAGCCAGTATCATACCTTTGTCATATCTATTTTAAACAAATTATGTGTCAGCCCACATGTCGTCAGTTTCATTGTTATCATTGCTCTGTGGCTCGATTAGCCAGAACGTTGTAGGGAGGATTGTGGAAGTAAAAACATCAGTGCAATGTTGGCTTATATAAAAAATTAGAACGAAAGGAGAAATCTTTTTAAAAATCTGAAACTTCAGAAGCTCTTAGTTACGTCTCTAAAATAATGATAATTCATTTATTTCTTTATTTTGTGGTAATATTTAAATAATACTATAATATTCAAATACAATGCAGGAAAGTAAACAAAAAATACATATAAAAAAGAGAGAGGTAAACTGTATCATTGTATTTAACACAAATTTTCTTTTGTAAAAGATAAGAGTATTTTGTTGTTCTAAGTTTTTCTTCCAATATTGAAGTATTTCCAAATGAATATAAGTCTCCTTAAGCAATATACTTTGAATTTTTTATTCACCCTCTAATTAATATTTTCTAGGAGAACTGAAGATACAACGATGGGTCTTCTAGGAGACTGTCCTTTCAAGTGTCCGGAGTTAGATGCTTGCATCAACTCCACTCTGTGGTGCGATGGAACCTCCAACTGTCCTTCCGGCTTCGATGAATCGCCAAATCACTGCCTCCCCCTGCCTCCAGTTCAACTGGCACTGTTATCAATAATCATACTGATCTCAATATCACTTGTTGTTACTTTCCTATGTAGGCTAAGAAAGGGAAGAAGAAGACAATCGCTGAAATCACTGCCATCAGATACCGATACCATTGTGTCTTCTTCGGGTGGGAAAGAGGTGATTTGCTGACCCAGTACCAACAGTTCTGAACGTTGCCTAGAGGAAGTGGACAGAGTCACTACTGTGTGACGTTTTAAATTTCCTAGTCAAAGTTGGAACCTTTGGTATTGTCATATGACGTATGTGTAAACATATTATAGTTTCCCAAACTGCCGGTCATTATAAAATAAGATTACTACATTATTTATTTCCACCCATTTCAACAACAAATGAATCATTATTTTTGTTATTTCATATCTAAACTTGTTTCCTACTTCTATAATTAAATTTTATAAAAATTATAAACATTTCATAGACAACTAATTAGAAAACAATAATGAAAAATTATTTATGACACTAAAGGTTCTAAATTTTGTTTATGAAATTAAATTAGGTGCCTTCCATGTTCAGAACTGTATTTAAGTATTTAACATAAGATCTCAATTAATAAAATAATGAATAATAACATTAAACAAGTTAACATATAAAATACGCAATACGATTAATATATATTTTTATATAGCCTGCTTAAGATTATTAGAATCGAACTTTAAATGGATATAGAGTATTCTTTTTCTAAAAATCGATGTCTGTACTGGAGAACTTTATATTAAACTTTAAACAATTAGGGTTCTACATAAAAACTTTTTATGAAATAGAGTTTTTCTTAGAATTTTTTAATAAATAGAATTCAAACTCTGTAACTTAAAGTTTAAGAGAGGTCTATTTTGTGTTTTCTATTTCTGAGATAAGGAATTTTTTGACTATTTTGGCTAGTATCAAATGTTTTATTTTAATGTGAATAAGTCCTATCTCAGAGATTATTTTTGATGTTTGTATGAGGATCCCTTATTTATGAAAGTGCAGTCATAAGAGTGACATAAACAAATAAATTAAATCCTATATTAAAAAAGAAATTCAAACTTAGAGTTTTTGTTTATTCTATCAATGTTACTATTGAAGAAAAAAACATTTATTAATTATATACTGTTAGAAATTCAAAGAAAATTATATTTCTTTGTTGTTTATTTAATATTCTATTTTATCTGTTTAATCTTAGACTGTAGTAAAATGAAATGAAAATTATAAAAAATATCTATAAGCAATGTAAAATATTTAAAAATAACAATAAGCATTAACCTTTAATTTATTAAAATTTTTATTATCAGCAATAATTCTAAAAGTTATTTAATAATAGCTAATTGGCAATATGAAAATGAGTTATTTTAATAGATACGCAAAAAACACATAAAATTATCAAAGTTATGTATGAAATGATTGGCTTTAAGATATAAAACAAGTATGATTTTAATGAAATTTTTATTCTGATTGAAATCACGAGCAGATATTGGTAGAACTGTAAAGGATTTCACTTACTCTCAGAATAATGAGTAATCTGGTAAATAAAAAAATAAAAGATATGAAGGCTTTGGTTATTACAGAATGAGAGAATCATTATATTTAATATGGTATAAAAGTATAAAAGTATCATGAGGAAGTGTTCTATGTTTTCTGGTACTTTTTGCCATTATCACTACAATATTCTTATTGTTACCATATGTTTAAACATAAAATAAAACATACATGATTAATAACTTGTATGTTTAAATAAATAATAAATTTACCTGAATAGAAAAAAATTCAAAATTAAGAGCCTAACTGTTAAAGGGCTCGGGAAGAATTTTGGAATCCTTTGCATATTTGGTTTTTCATTTTATAGCACTGACATTCCTTTTTAGATACGAAAAAAATTTCTCATTCTGGAACGCTAAGTTTTCCCCCTGAGAATATACCAGAATAGGTCATACAAAACTAAGTAGATCATTCTGCCAAAAGAAAATCTTCAATCGTTTAAAACAATGAAAAGATTTCTAACAAAAATCGTAGAGTGAACCTTGTCATATTTTAAACGATCAAAAAAATGTGTACTTCATTCATTGATACTCTAAAGATTTTTCCAAGCTCTTAATTTTCCAGCAACAATCAATAACGATTGTTTTCTACTAAAGTTCCACGCAAGTGAGTAACAAAAATAATCTGTTAGGAAAACATTGGACTGTTTTGATATAATTGTTCAAATCAAGTAATCCAGATAGTAAAAGGAACAGTCACGCCTATTTAGAAATAATGCTCTCTTGATTTTAAAATTACCGAATGGGATTATAGGGCGTTGGGATTTATTGTATTTCAGAACTTATAATTTCAAGGTTACAAATTAACTGGTTACTATGTAATGCCAACATTTTTCTTTGAATTGATGGCTGTGAGTCAATAACAATTTTAAAACACTTATTTTTTTAAATGTTTCAACCAGACATTAATGAGGTCATGAATACACAATTTATAAAGAATACTTTTTATTATCAAAATTCATCAATGAGTTATGAACAAAAATGAAATCTATTATTGAATTTTTTTTTTTTTTAAATGAAACTATAATGTATAATTATTTTTTCCAATAGAGAATAAATAGTTGTTCACACTATAACTGGATCAAATTATGAATGAAGTTTATAGAGACAATGAAAATAATTTTTTTTTATTTGGTATGATTTCTAGTAATTTTACGTAGCAGGAATACGCAAATTTCTATTTCAAACTATATGTTAGTATTCAATTTGGAAATTAGCTAATATTCCGATTAAAACTAAACTGAACTGAAATATTATATCAAATAACACATTTATTAAAAATTATTTTTGAAATCCACTTCGATACTTTTTAAAAAAAAAAATTTACTTATCTTAATATGCTCATGAGAATGGATGGGGATGAACCCAAATGCATTTGGAGTACCAAGCAACTATCACTCTTAAGGGCAGTTATATTAGATAAGCGAGGATAAGCAGAAATGATTATATTACAATATAATTTGAATTCACACAAAGACATTCTGAATTATTGACATTTTGTTTCTATGTCGACCATGTAAGAAATTTTCTTTCTTCCTTTATTTCATTATATTAGGCACTCACAAACATTTTTGTCTTACATTAGATCTATTATCCATATTCTCTCATATATTGATTTCAAATCATCATTGTCATTGTCTACTGATCATTATAACAATGAATCACATTCATAATATACAAAGTGTACAACAAAAATTAAGATGAAGGAGAATAGATAAAAGAATTAAAATGAAAATTTTGGCTAGACTGTGTCCAAGTCCAAAGAGCATCACTAAACTTCTCATTTAAGTCACTATTTAGTTAGCATAGAAAATGTTTGGGAAGAATATCAGCCTTGCTCTTCTGAAACTCTGCCAATAATCATATGTGGATTGATTCAATAATTTTACATTTTTTTTTTCAATTATTTGAAAATATCATCATTTGGAATCATCACAATCATTTGGAAATGATTATTTTTATCTTTTTTTTTATTAAGACTAATATCTTAAATAATGAAACAAATATAATGTCTTTCTTTTAAGTAATTTAAATATTTTCTCTTAATTAATAATTGAGAAAATATTACCTTTTAAAAATGCTGCTATGAAATTAAGTTGTTTCTTGACTATTAGCCTAGTCATTTGAAGCAGAATCAGTTAGTTTACAAGTGTAGCTCACTTGATCAACATACTGCCAATTGTAAATATAAATTGTATAGAAATTATTTAATTAGAGACGAAAGTTAGTCGAGTCGTGTGCTTCCTGAAATACTGACTAATAAAACATTGTAAATAATTAAGATTATATTCGAACGCTGTAAATAAGTGTACATGTGAGTATCTTTTTTGAACTTCCATTGAACTTATAGTTTGTACATATCATTAGAAAATTTTAAAATTGTATAATTAAAATAAATTTGAACTACAATCATTTTAAATATTTTTAAAATTGTTAGACAATATATTAAAAAATATATATATCTTCTTATTAGCAGTTGGTTCAGAGTTTACATACTTATATTGAAAAAAAAAAGCTAAATTATTACAACCATCTTTATATTGTGCCTGGTTGTTTCTATAGACTCTTGAATAATAAGTAATTTGTCATTAGTTTTGCTGGTAGTTTGGTAGTTGGATCTATTAATATTTCAAATTGTATTTTAAAGTCTCACATACCAGCAAAAAGAACAGGAAAGTTAACTATAATTTTAAAAGTTTAATGGGATGGGGTACAAGCAACATTGACAAAATAGGCCCAACAATTATAATTTTTTGTTTGTTTGTTTCTTCCATCTAGCTTATTTTATCTACCGAAGATATTATAAAATTGATCACTCAACAGCCATATTTGTCTTAAACAAGACTGGTAGGTAATTATACTTAATTTAGACATTTTTGATTGAAATTTTAAAATCTCACGAGATAGATTATATATTATGTGAAATAGATCATATAAGGGTCTTCATGTTAAAATAACTAATGGCATTAAAAATTGATATGATCAAGATCACCATCAAACAAATATTTAATGGTTATCTATTTCAATTTAAAATTGTCAAATTTATGAATATTGTTCTATTCAAAGTATTATGAAAATATGTTATTATTATTTTTTAATGAATTATATTTCAGTCAATTTAATCAGCAATCATTGTAATTTAGTACAATAATAATTTAAAAAATAAAAAAAATATGAAAATATTTTGTTTTGTATTAAAAATGTCTTAATACAATCTATGAAGCAATTAAAATAATTTTATACCATACCAAATCAAATTGCAATTAACATTACTTTGTCAAAACTTTAAATGCTTGTAAATACTATTTTATTATTAATCATTGTATATAAAAAATATCTGAAAATGTTTATGTCGTAGTCCAGATAAGAAATAAATAATATTGTTTCTGAAGTGCTGGATGATGATTGACTGTGATGGTAAATAATAATGGTTATTTAATCGGGGAACAGTTTATATGATATAAAATTAATGAAAGAAATTAATTTGTATATTACTTGATTGTTGATGTAATAAAATACTATTATTTTCAAGTAGGCTATTTTCCGGTAGAAAATTGTCCACCTTCTAAGGCTGTTCATTATTTCTGAATATTGTGTTACATTTGTAGGTTCAATCTTAAGTCAGATGGCCATACTGTTAATAATCTATATTTTAAGAATGTGTCATACAATTTGTTATCATACATTTATATATATTCCCGTATTTCAATTGAAACAGTTCAGATAGCTCACCTACAGAAGGGTCGTAAACTATTTTTATTAGAAAATAAAATGAAAAATAACTTTATTCTGGAACACAGTCCCTTAAGTATAACAAATTTGTAGAGAAAAAATGTTTGCTTATGGCAAACAAATCTGTTACATTAAATAATTTAAAAAAAATAAATACATTTTAGATAATATAATGGACAAATAAGGAAATAAACTTATGAAGTAATGAAAAACCACAAGATGGTTTTCATTATGATGGATAATTTAGAATTGAGATTAAAGACAGTTTGATGGCCTGAATTATGAAGAATGAACTTGAATATGGACAAACAACCCTAAATGTTAAAATTTATATAATGAAGGATTGAAATTTAAAATAGTGAACAATTTTGTTCCTGTACATTTTTTTTATTTTTTTTTTTTTGACAAAAATTGAAATGTGAAATAATCATTATTATTTTCATTAAAGTACCATATTTATCTTACATCATTATATCTATACCATTCATGTTACCATCTCCATTTACCTAATTTATCATTATTTTTAAAATTATTTATACCATTTTAGTTTTATTTTGTGATGTAATCCTGAACATTCAAAATTTTGGCAAAA